GAAGGCCGAATCCGACGCTGGTCTCCTCCTGAGACAGGAGGCATCCCAGTAGAGGTTTGAGGATCCATCAGAGCCCTGGAGTCCAGCTCTGTATGGTCCTTTTCAAATTGAAGGTTTGATGCCATAGTAATCATAAAACAAGGATTTTAAAAATGTAATGAAGTTAATCATTATAATTTTTTTATATACTAACTTAAGAGATTATGATAAATTGTTAATAAATTATTATTATTCTTACAAAAATAATGTCAATTTTATAAACAAAAACATCATTTAAATAAGATTTTGTAAAATTTAGCATTATTCTTTAATTTTATTAAATAAACAATTATTTATTTAAATTCCTAATGTTAGAATTGGTCAGAAACATAATTTAAATTGTTAAAATCTATTGAGAATTAAGAAAATAAAACACATATTTTAACTTTTTAAAATCCCCCTAGCGGCTAAACCCTACGACGGAAGTTGCTAATTTTTACATATATTATATATTTTAATGTCCTCTACCAGATTAGCTAATAAAATTGACCGGGCGAGCTGGTCAATTAACCCATAGACCGAGAAACATCCTCCTTTTTGTCATCTACAGGGACCTCAAAGTGTGTTCAAATATGTGTTTTCAATTATATATTTATTAGTCTGAACACAGTTTGAGGACACAGGTCATCTATATACAGTGCTGTCCACCAGAGACAGTACTAGTTTAATTTTGGAGCTAGTACACTCAAACCTTTGTTAGCAGTAAACTACATCTAAAATTTTAATAGATTCAATAAGTGATTAGTGTGTTATAAAGTAATTTTCACGTATAAATCTGTAAATATAAGTGATATAAACAAGTTTGACACATTGAACTGTCAAATATGATAAGGGTCCAATGCTAAGGTTCATAGGTCATTTCAAATTATGTCAACTAGTGATGTATATACTTAATTCATTTTTAGCGTTAAACAAATTATTTATACAACTATTCAACACTAGTTATTTAAACCTTTATAAGTTTTAGTCATAAACATTAAAAATGTAACAGGTGAAAAATATTAAAAGTTTTTAATCATAAAATGAGCATATAATCAAGTTTAACTTATTTTATACAAATGAATGTAGTTTTAAAGGTGGACTTTTACAATTAATAAACATTGTATTTAAACATTGTTTGAACATTAATGTATTAGTAATTTTCAATGTCTATTAAGTTTATTATAGACATAAATAACTAAGGCTCTTAAAAATTTATAAGTTTATCAATTATAGGTGATTGGGCTATTAGTTTATCAACCCTATTTATAGGTGATTTTAACTTTTGGAACTCAATGGTCTATACTATTTTATCAAAATGTGTCAAGTACAAATATGAATGATAACACTTTTTTTTATGTAAATCTGTACATGAATAAATAAATTTTATATTCTGAATTGTATGATTTTTATAACCCCCGCTCGCTACACTTATGGGACTTACATATAGTGTAAAGAATATGTCCCTGATAACATACAACTAAAAATTATCTGCTAAATCCGGTTATTTGATGTCCATTTCTGGCCGCAAAAAACGTACCAAAAGCTTACAATTTCATCACAAATAATACATTTATTGAATGAATAAAATGTGTTTGAAATTTTGATTCATTTTTTGTGAATCATTTTTATCGCTAATCTCTTTTAATCTCTTTTCACAATTTTTGTTCAAAAAATATATTCATCGTTAAATTCAAAAATTTAAAAAGAGATAAAATGAATATTTCAATATTTTATTCATGCAAAATACTTTTAATTACAAATAAATATGACGCAGGGTAGTTTATTGGAGTTGATTATCAGCAAATAATATTTTAAATAAATAGTTCACACCATAGAGCGATACACAACAGAGAGATTGACAACTCAGAGCTTCGACAGTATTAATAAAAGCATTATCAATGTTATATATATTTATAAATCAATTTTATTTATAATTACTAAAATCGGGTTATGATTCATATATAAGGCTTGTGCCATAAGTTTTTCCCCTTTTTTGATACGAGTCTCGCGCGCGACCTATTGTATTGTTGGGATCAGTTTTGTGATCCATTTTATTCATACATATCATAGACTGATATTACCATTGACTTTCTTAAATAAAGTTAAGTTTAAGATAATGGGAGTCCAAGAAAGGCTAGTGATGTCAGTTAGGATTTGGACATTTAATCAACAAAATGATCTAATGTGGAGATGACAAGACACATATAATGGCTAACCTACCGGAACCAAGTGGACAGAAGTATTTTAACTTTAAAAATATCAATAAAGTAGTCTATTTTGAAAGTTTTAGAGATATCACAAAGTTCGCTAAGCGTTATCTCGTTTGGCAAAGCCATGGATCAAGTGGGGTACTTTTCACAGCCTTATATCAAAGTCGGTACTATGAAGTCACGTGAATAAAAAACCAACTGTCTTAGACAATGACTACTTCCATTAATCCAAAAATATCATAATAGTTGTTATCTAGTGTTTTGGTCCAATTTTGCATTATTTCACTACCAAATCTATGTACAGGAATGGCTCAAAACAAATGGTATCAATTATGTGAACCATAATGAAAATCCGCTTAACGTTCCCCATGCCCGGCCTACCGGCCCATTGAGAGCCTCTGAAGTCAATGCAAATGGGAATACTCTAATAGGTCTAAAGTTGTTATAAATGCTCATAAATGTTGTAAAACCTGGATTAAAATACGTGATATCCATGTCAAAGTAATTTAAAGTCATGTCCATGCACTCATGAGGAATGTCAAGAACAAAGGGAGAATAATAGGTGATAATGGAGTGATGGCTTAATATAAACTCAAAAACTAGTTTTATATATTGTAGTTTACTTGTGTATAAAATTGTTTTTAGTTTCGATAAATACTTTTCTAAATATTAATATTTTTATAAAGGGGAAAAACTTGTGGCACAAGCCTTATTTGTCATCAGCTAATACTGATGCAGCAAATACAGCTAATAACAAGTTAATGCTGTTTGTTACAAACGATATGTTACGATGAACACTGAATATATTTTGTTGGAAACATAATTTTCATTTTGATTAATAGTATGAGTATTTATTAGACATGAAGATAATATTCAAATGATTAATATATTAAGAAATATTTATCAGTAAAGTATTTATCACTTTTAAGTAAATATGAGTGATAAAACATAAGTTCATTTAAGGTTTTTGAAATTGAAATGTACAAACAAAATCATTTTTCCTAAAATGATAATCCAATTGAAAATATAAAACAAAAATACAATAAAATTGTATTAAATTAAAAATTCTATAATAAATTTTGAATTATTTAATATTTCAAAGACTTTTCATTATTAATTCTGTGGTATATTATGTATCATAGTCATTAATTATCACCAGGTACATCATTTTTGAAATAAGTGAGTCATAAAATCAGATGTCTGTCGCACCGGTATCTGAGATGTTCACCGATTGGATCAACCCATCAGAGATCACATTAGAAGAGGTTTGTGTCACTCGTATGTCACTGTCTATAATATTGTCATATATATTCTGTATGTGACAGAAAGTGGGCAGCGGAGGGTACGGAACGGTACGTAGAGGGCTATGGAGGGGACAGGAGGTGGCGGTTAAGCAAATACGACCCGAAGACAGACAGTCTTTTGAGACTGAGCTGAAACAACTGTCCCGTGTGTCGGCTCACCCTAATATAGTCAGCCTATTGGGTGCTATAAGAGACGATGAGTTCGTATCACTGGTTATGGAGTTCGCTAACGGGGGCAGTCTATACAATTGTACTGTAACATGTATATGATTGTCTAGGTGCTGAAAAGAGTTATCTATTTTTCAATGCAAACTGTATACATAACATAATCATCTTATTCATTGTATACCATGTAATATGTGATAGTATTAATACAAATAATTGTTATAAACCTCTTCCAAGAACTATAGATCCGCAATTGTAGACATCCCCTGAACTGTGTTATTAATTGTATACAATATATGTTCAATATTTGCGCATATTTTAGGCATAAAAACAAACTATTTTACAGCTTTTTGGTATAGTACTGTACAGTGGATAATCAATGCTATGAATCTCAATGTATAACTTTCGAGTTTCAAAATAGTTTGTTTTTATGCCCAAAATATGCGCAAATATTGAACATATATTGTATACAATTAATAACAGTTCAGGGGATGTCTACAATTGCGGATCTATAGTTCTTGGAAGAGGTTTATATACAGTTTGCATTAAAAACAGATAACTCTTTTCTGCACCCATACGATCATATACTGTATAAGCGCATTCTATATATGCTTTTATTAATGCTGATATTTTATTAATCATAATATTTATACGTTATATTAATTATGGACTACTAGTTCTACACTCGGACTCACCGGTGCCCTACACTATGGCGGAGGCTATTTCATGGGTGCATAAGTGCGCGAATGGTGTCGCATACCTGCACTCAATGAGACCCAAACCTATAGTCCACAGAGACCTCAAGTCTCCCAAGTATAATATTTAGATTATGTATTCAGTGTATTCCTTATGCAGTTGTTTATATGTTGCTAACCTTTGTACCCTAGTTAAACTTGTTTTTACACCCGATACATATTTACTGATGTTTAAAATTTTACAAACTATTTGAAGATTAACCAGATTCCAAACCAAACCAAAGTTTATTAACTTAATTGTTAAATATATTACTTAATACTGATCTAAATGGGTGCGGGTCTATTGACCTAAAAACCAATTGACCTAAACTTAAATAACTTAATGACCACTAGGTAAATATTCCTGATGACAGTGTAAAATGTTCCCCTTGACCTAACCTAACCTTACATATCCTTACAATGGTCAAAAGTCTATTGGTCATTAAGTTATTTGAGTTTAGGTCAATTTGCCAGTTCCCTATTATATGTGCGTCCATTTATCCATTAATGTATACATGAATAATGGCTTATTATTAATAAGTTATTAAATATACACCAAAATATATTTATCGCTTCTGAATGCCGACCACAAGACGTTTGGCTTGACATAAGGCGCGGCCATTAGTGAAGATGACGGGGACGTCAGTGTCGGTCACTCTGGAGAAGAGGAACTTCTGTGAGATGTTCGCCAACACGAGCTTTGCCTCCAATAACGCGAATCGCATTCCAATGCAATTTCGTGGACCCGAACCGAATGGGAGGTAAGTATAGGGTTGGATGTGATCCCTGTTTTCCGGCATAAATCTATCAGGGTTGAATGTAAATGGATCTGGATAGTAATCGGGGTCGTGATGTATGGCATACACCGGGATTTCGACGGATACTCCCTTCTCGATCTTCACTCCAGTGTCGCCTAACATAACGTCTCCCATGGCTTCCCTCTGAAGTCGAAGTGTTGGCGGATAATTGCGAAGAGTTTCCGACAGAAGTGAGTGAATGAATGGCAGTCTCGACAGCACTTCGTAATCCATTTCTCCCTTTTCATTGAACGCCTCTTTTGTCTCCTCATAGAGTCTGTCCTGAAGTCCCGGATTGAGTGCCAACTCATACGTACAGTACGACAGAGTGATAGCCACTGACTCGTATCCGGGACCGAAGAATTGGAAACATTGCGCTAATATCTCGTCTTCAGTCAACTTCTTCTCCAACACTCCAGTGAAGGCCTCGGCGTAGGCTTTCATCTCATCCTTACCCTCATTCACATGATGTGCTTCATTGGCATCACTGGCCTCTCGTATGTCTCCTTCAGGTCTCTCGACATCCATTAATAGCTGCAGAAAATCGTTGTGCTTTTCTTTATTATCTCTCCTTTTCTTTATTATACTTCGCGCGAAATCAATGAAAAAGTCAACATCAGAGTAGTTAGTCATTACAATACGCCGGAATATACTAGTATTGACAATAAATGTGGGCAGGGTCACTTGCAATACGGTTTTCCAAATAAAACTAGAGAACACATTGTTGGCTTTGGTAATGAACGGGTTGTTAGGATCGGCGTATGTATTAGTTTTGGTAGCGAAGGCACAGCTGGCCATCACATCCATAGTGTAGGCGCCCATCAGTCGCTTCAACTCGACTTCATTCACACCATTCGACACATCCTTATCCAGACTTTTGAGGAAATCATTACAGCACCGGTTGATCGGAGCATACAATTGCCTCATCTTTGCGGACGAGAAGGTAGGGGTGACTATGGCCCGGACCCGCTTCCAGTCGTCATTCCTGGCGTAATTCATCAATTTTGAGGTGATTTTGTGATTATCTTTAGTTATCGGGCGGTTACGAAATGAATGGAAATCTTTGACCAGAATTTGTTTGATGAGCTCGGGGTCGGCTACCATTAGGCTGGGCTTTGCAAACACGAACATTCTGTCCATTTGATTAGATTTATGTGTTCATTGGTATATATTAGTCATCTTTAAACAGTGTATTCAATTGACTTTAATTATAAAATATTATAAAATTCTAGCAAAAATCACCTGGAATGACTACTATTATTTGTTTGCCGCTAATATGTATTATTTGTAATTGTAATTAGGCTTAAATTATTGTGGCTAGTTGGAGTAAACATACATAGCAATAAACTAGCTCCCCAATTGGCGGAGATACTAAATAATTCAAATTAAAAATTTTATACAAGGTATAAAACAAATTTTGGATCTACTTTTGGTTTGTTTGCAAAATCACTTAATGTGTTATTTTGATTGTTTGCAAACTTTAAAAACTTACTATTATTTAAAAAATTCATTATAATAGTTAACAATTAATAAAAATGATTGAAATGTTGATTTGAATTTATGTAAAATAAGTGATAAAATGCTTTCCAATCACAACACCACTAATACACTCAACACTTATCACTATTTCCACTGTTTTTGGGCTAAATGTCAATTCAAGACTAAACTGAAAAGTAATTTAACTAATCATCAAGTAAAACATACTAACAAAAAACATTTTGAATGTGATTTTACTAATTGTAATAAAAATTTTAAGACATCTTCACATTTAATTGCACACAAAAATAGCATTCATTTAAATGTGAGATATGTATGCGATTGGAGTGAATGTCACAAACAGTTTACACGGAAATCAAATTTATTTCAACACAAAAGTAGTGTCCATTTGAATGAAAGAAAATTCATGTGTAATGAAGAAAATTGTGGCAAAATGTTTGGCCTAAAATCTAACCTAATTAAACACAAAAGCATACATTCGGGTGAAAAGCCATTTGTTTGTCATTTCAATGATTGTCACAAAAGTTTCACACAAAATAGCGATTTAAAACGACACATGAAAATTCACACCAATCTATCAATAATTTAAATATTTTTTATTAATTAATTTTATATTACATTATTTGCAATAATAAATAATTTATTTTCAATTAATTTCTAAAAAATATGTATTTTCTAAATAATTGGGGAAAAAATAAATCGACAAAATTGTATACAACTGCATTATTTTAAAAATAATATTATTAATAAATAGTTTTTTATTATACATATCAATTATGTGAAACTCGCTCAAGTTCAATAAACTTCAAAAACATCATCGATAGTATCGATATTATCTAGATGAAATACCATGGAAAACAACAATTTATTTAATGTTATATAATTTATAAAAATTAACTTAATATTAGGTCATACCTCAGCGCACCGTTTATAATCCACTATAAACAACTTCCAGCACCAAATGCCCACCCTCATTTTAGCCGTACGTTCAATGAATATAATTAACTAAAATTTTAATTAAGAATAAAATATTATATAATAATTTATTTTCCTAAACCATAGCGTAACAAATGTATTTGACTTACCTTATACCCGATAGCATAATTATTAACCCGTGTTTTAAGACTACATAATATTTTATACGATTTGTTTGCCTCGTAATTAATTGACGATACGATCGATATGTTTACCAAAAACAATATAATTATGAGAAGCGATGGAAAGCCTATGAATACACGGCTGAACACATCCATCGGATATAATAACATACAAAATAAAGCCATTAATGAATTCAGGCTCAATACTGACCATACGATTGACATGTATTTTGACAAATATGTGACGTTATAGTCATTAATCTCGGCGTATATTGCGTTAAACGCGCGCATAGTTTGCATCAAATATACGACACTTAGCCTACGCTTACGTTTAGTTATATTAATTAAATCGGTATTAATCGCACGTATTTTGTATATAAGATAAATGGATATTAAATATAAGTGTATTAATAGCCAAATGCTGATACCGTACCCACAATAAGCTGCTAGTCCCGTGACTAGGCTATGGGGTATGCCATATATTAGGACTTCCCATAGGGTACAACCAAGTAAATAAGGTACAAATGTTGCGAAAAATACCAAGGGTAAACCACGTTTTACTAAAATGTTACCCAGACTAAACATTTTGCGACATTTGATTGCTAGTTTATAGATGTACTGTGTGTTATATAAGCCAATTGATCCAGGTGTTATATTACCTGCCATCATTTGAAACAACGCTAAAAATGTGGGTTTAATATCATGGATGTAGTTGTAGTGAAATATGAGCATGATAAATATGTGGTACAGTCCCCATGTCATATGGGTTAGGTTGAAGTGGTAACTCAGCCCTAATAGGTGGCCAAAGTTACCGTAGTATACGTGTAGATCCCGGTGCTCTCTGGGTATAAGTAGGACTAGTATTGATCGCCACATAAACGCGTTGACCATTAAATGACATACAAATGGTGTGCAGAATCTGTTTCGCTTGATATCCATATAATTAGTTTTGTCTAATTTTAGGCCAATTTTATGCAATTGTTTATCGCATTCAGGTATCACTAACTCATCAGGAATATTAGCATTTATATCTATTTCATCCATTATTTTATAGATATTTTAATATATTAAGATAAAGTTATATTAATTAAATATTATATTAGGTTGTTGTATACTTATTACAATGAAATTAGTCTTATAATAACTATATCTTTATTAATGTAATGTATTATAATTAAATTGTAAAATGTAAATTATAATTGTGTTTTTATATTGTATTGTGTAAATACTCTATAAATACAGTACAATAGATAATTAATTTATTTAATGACCCATTAGTTAAGGACATTACAATTAATTTGTTTTCTATGATTAAATACCAATTAATTGATTTGATCTTATAATGATATTTTCGTACATGTTAGTAAATACAAATTATTTAATAAATAATAAAATACTAATTATGGTTTTTTATATCACTAATAGATATTTAGCTATCTAACCTATCTAATTTAGGTATCACTAACTCATCAGGAATATTAGCATTTGTGTATACATGTTTATATGTTATCCATTATTTAATAGATATTTTAAAATTAAAAGTATAACAAGTTATGTAATTCTGTTTTAATTTGTAATGAAATTTATAAGTTTTTGTAAATACAGTATATAATGATTTTATTATTTTTGTTAATGACCTATTATAATTAATTAGTTTTGTATTATTAAATATACTTTATTATTATACTTTAATATAAATTAGAAAACACAGAATATATACGGTATATAATAAAATACTAATTATGGCTTATTATATCACTAATAGATTTTTAGTTAATTTGAAATATAATAAAGTAATAATATATAAATAATTACCTAATTAATTGTGTACCTAATGTACCAGACATTATGATCATAAATTTAGTTTAAATAGCAATAAATTTACAGTAAGAAATGATAAGAAAATATATTTATAGTTAGAGTTATGGGAAAAATAAGAGATTTATTTCACTTTTTAAAATATCTATAAAATACATTATTAATATAATTAAAGCATATATTTGTTAATATTATTTTAGTGTTTTAATGTTTAATACAATTAGTGAATGACAATAATATTGTAAAATAATTATAACAGTTATAATAAATTAATAGTTATAAATAATGTAATACTTAATAAATAGTCAGCACAATTGTATACTAGTATACTAGAGTATTTCAATTATAATTTATTGAATAGTGTGTCAAAAGTGGCAAACATTCACACCATTAGACTCTATGGCAGTCAAGAAGTCACACAAACGGCGGTTAATAATGCGATTGAAATGTTGCCAAAAATTAAAGATTTCATTATTAATGTAAATAAATATTTTAGTAAAACCATTTGAGATGTTTAATAAAATAAATGAATTATTTTAAAAATATTAAGTTGAAATATGTTATGTAATTTAATTTTCTAAAATAAATATACAAATATTGTAACCAGGTCATTTACAAAAAATGTAATTTAGTAAACAAAATACTAATAAAACAAAAACAATTATTAATTAATTGTTTTTATAGCCTTTATTTAGATTTAAAATGAATGTCTTTGTGTTCAATAAATTGAGACTTAAGTCGAAAACTTTTATGACATCCAGTGATAGGACAAACGAATGGGTTTTTAGATGAATGTATGCCTTTGTGTTGAATTAGCCGTGAATTCAGAGCAAAACTTTTACCACAATTATGTTCATTACATTTGAATGGTTTGTCACTCACATGAACACCACTTATATGATGTTTGAGTTCAAGTTTAGTTACAAAACATTTGTCACAATCACTATAATTGCATTTATATTGCTTTTGTTTGAAATGATGTCGACGTAAATGATCAGTTAAATGATATTTTTGTTTAAAACATTTGTGACAATCATTGAAACGACAAACAAATGGTTTTTCACCCGAATGTATGCGTGTATGTGTAATTAGGTTAGATTTTAAGCCAAACATTTTCCCACAATTGTCTTCATTACACATGAATTTTCTTTCATTCAAATGGACAGCACTTTTGTGTCGATTTAATGTCTGTTTTGTTGTAAACTGTTTGCGACATTCACTCCAATCGCATACATATCTCTCATTGTAATGAATATTATTTTGATGTAAAGATATACATCGTTTCCGAGTAAAACCTTTGTCACAATTATCTTCATTACATTTAAATCTTTTTACATTTAAATGAGCAGTACTTTTGTGTTGATTTAATGCATGTTTTGTTGTAAACTGTTTGTGACATTCACTCCAATCGCATACATATCTCACGTTTAAATGAACTCTATTTTTGTGTTCAAATAAATGTGAGGATGTCTTAAAATTTTTATTACAATTACTAAAATCACATTTAAATTCTTTTTTGTTGGTATGTTTTAATTGATGAAAAGTTAAATTCTTTTTCAGCATTTTTATTATACTAATACTTAATTTGATTTTGATTTTCATAAAAATTAGAACTTTTATTATTTATATAATGAGTTTATAGTATACATGTAATTGTATTTAT